CATGATATGGGACAGAAAGAAATATGAGTTTAGAAAACATTTTTACTTTTCTTCATATCTATCATACCTTTCAGTGAATATATCTATCATGTCTTTCATTGAATATATGTATGTCTGTATATGTCTATATGATTAATATACGATTATATATTATTATAATCATATAATATATGATATTAATATATGATTAATATATATGATTAATGTTTAATTTTTCCACAATGAACAATAAGTTTTTCCTGCAGTGACATTTGAAGTTTCCAGGAAGAAGATGGGGCCCCATAACAACAACTCCACCTGGTTGATATGACATCATGATACTGATAGCGCTACTACAAGACCTGTTTTGAGTACCAGCTGCACAAGACGATGCCAACGTGGTTAGCTGAAATGATGCACATCTTGTACAACATTCTGGCCAGACCTCCACAAAATACTCAGAGACTATTTGCAATTTTAAAAGACATTGATCTTGAAATTTAACCATCATTTTACTTTCACAGGATCCCCCAGAAAGAACGTCGCCCCCATGACAGCTGGAAGTAATTCTAGAGAACGACGTCCCCTCTCCCAGTAAAGTTTGTCCTTGGGTTTAGGGACATCATTTAGGGGTTGGTTATAATTAGTTGAGGGTTGAGGGTTGGGGGAGGAATTTTATAAGCGCAGGAATCAAAAAAAAAAAAAGGGATAATTGGATTATGGGATAATAGCTTTGTACTTGTGAGTTATTGTTTTTGACAAAAATATTGGTATTGATTCTTATATATTGATACAAAGTTAAATTATGTTGACTATTTTATGCATACATGCTTCTACCTCTGTTTAAAACATTTTTATGTATTGACATATATATATTGTATTGATATATGTATATTTTACCATATTGCATTGTACACTTCTACCTCTGATTAAGATACTTATATATTGTTTATGTATTGATATATATATTTACCATATTGCAATGTATACTTGCACATTGTTTATATTTGGAGGTCATATTGTCCCCATTTATTGCACAGTTGTTTACTATTTCAGTCTTTAAGTTAGATAGATATTGAGAATAATATAGATCAATAGTCATCTAAGTTTGTCATTTATAATTAGACTAATCAGGTTCTTTAGATACATAGAGATTATATTCAGTATAGATAGATAATCTTCAACCTCTTCAAAGAGCTGTAGAAAATGGCCTTTAATCTAACTCAGAGTTCTGTGGTAGGGAGACACAATCCTTCCTGGCAACACTGATCTATTCCCGAGAGAATGTTGAGCACCAAAGACACTCCACCTGGAGCCTTTCTTCTTGGTAGAACTGGCCTTTGGGTAAAGAAATGCCCATACCTCAACTACTGACAGAGTTGCAGAGTATCCGTAAATGGATAAAACAGGACTGTCATATCCTGCCAAGACAGGATAAGATAGTTTTGAAAAGTTCCTTGCCTTTGAAAATGGTATGTCAGTTACGTTAGGCCTTAGCCAAAGTTGGTTGCTTCAACGCTGCAAACGTGATTTTGGGTGATTGCCCAGGTAGCCAGTTGTCTCTGTGATTTGTTACATGTTCTGGAAGTTTGATTGCACTTCCTAATTACTTAGGTAACATTATTTCCCTTCTCAGATCTTTGATGGGATTGAAGATTATATAAACGTAGTTACTTTCCTTTTATGACGTGGCCAAGTTATTTCTTATACAAGACTTAAGCTAGTTAGAATAGGATATTTGTATTTATTGTATATAATTGTGTAGGTTTGTACTTACTGTATATAATTTCGTAGTAGGCTTAGAACTCTCTTACTTAAACAAAAGGGGGAGGTGTTGTGGGAGTAACTTCCGCTGCCTCAACCAATAATCACTGAAGCAGGAGCCCACAGTGCAGCGGGGAGCGACTTCCGCTCCGTCAGCCAATAGCTGCTGAAATACCAGCCCACTGGGGCGTAGTATATTTCTCTCTTAAAAAGAGAAGCAGTTCCGGATAAGGCCCTCTTGGTTCCGGCTCTTGGTTCCGGTGCTCGGTCTCAGCTGCTGCTCCCGGCTCCTGCTCCAGCGACTAGGCTCCCTTCCTGACGGTTTATGGTGTATGTAAGTTTTACCCCCCGCCAAATAAATAACCCCTTAAAACATAACTGGTGTGGGATTGATTCGTTAATAGTGTTTCACTTGTAAGTTCAGTCACTCCAGTTTAGTGCTGGTTTTGTTTTGCTTTCTTTCTTTTTCTTTGGTTTGTTGGGACAGGGTCTTCATAACATACCCCAGGCTGGCCTTGAACTCTCGAATCTCCTGCTCCAGCATCCTCAGTATCAGAATCATAGCCACTCAACACTTCTTCATCTCCTCCCCTTTCCTCTTGATAGATCTAGGTAAGGTCTATTTATTTTTAATTTTTTCCAACAAAACTTTTCATTCTATATGATTCCCATTTTACATTCTCTGTTTCATTCATTTCTGCTGCAGTGTTTATATTTCTTTGATATGAAGTTTATTTACTCTTCTTTTTCTAATTTCCTAAATAAGGTTGTTGATTCAAGATCAGCCTTTTAAATATATAACAAGTGTTTACGTTATAATCTCCCCTCTAAACGCTGCTTTAGCTGAGTCCCATGAGATTTAGTGTTGTTTTGTTTTCATTTAGCTTGTGAAAGGACTTTTTTTAAGTTTCCCTTGTGATTTCTTCTTTTCCCCAGTGGCTCTTTAGGAATGTTCTATTTAGCTTTCACTTTCTAGTGAACCTCTGGTTCCTAATTTCATCCCACTGTGATCAGAGAATACATTTTGCATTACTTTAATCCTTTTGACTGTATTCAGGCTTGTTTTATAATCTAGTATTATGGTCTCTTCTAGAGAATACCCATATGCCCTTGAGAAAAGTGTCTATCTGTTGTCGTTGGATAAAACCTTTCATAGGTATCGTTTGGTCCTAATTAGCTTGTAGTGTTGTTCTTCTGTTTACTGTGGAACTCTGTCCAGCTGTTCCCATCACTGCAAGTAGGGTTATGCACTCAGCTTTAACTGCCAAATTGTTTATCTCTCCCTTCAATTCTGTTCAGTTTTTCTTTATATACTTAGGGCTCTGTTACTAGGTACTTATGGACTTATAACTTAATGAATTCCAGATAACTTGGCCCGTCTACCAATGCAAGTACACTCCTTGTCTGTCCACTTCAGTTTTGAAGACGACCTTGCCAGGAATGGCTTGCTAACACTGCTCTCCGTTTGCATGTAATATGATTTCCTTGTTTCACTTTCAGGGTATTTGCTCTTTGAATCTATTCTGTCTCAAATACAACATATGACTGGACTGTATATTTCTGATTCCATCAGTCTTTGGCTCTTGATTGCACTGTCTGGTTCATTTATAGTTATATGAAGATTTCTGTAATATCTAGTCAAAGATCATTTTAGGAAGTGTACTGACCAATTTTATGCCAACTTAACGCAAGCTAGAGTTATCAGAGAGGACAGAGACTCAATGGAAAAAATGTCTCCATAAGATCCCGCTGTAGACAAGCCAGTAGGGCATTTTCTTATTTAGTGATCAATGGGGGAGGGCCCAGCCCATTATGGGTCATGCCGTCCCTGGGCTGGTGGTCCTGGGTTCTACAAAAAAGCAGGTGGAGCAAGCCGGTTAGCAGCACCCCTCCATGGCCTCCAGGTTCCAGCCCTGCTTGAGTTCCTGTTTTCTGACTTTCTTTTATACTGTATTGTGATGTGGAAGCACAGCTGAATAAACCCTTTCCTCCCTTTTCAAGTTGTTTTGGTCATGGTATTTTATCACAGTCCTAGAAACCCTAAGATACTAAGGGTATTTTGTATATCAAATGTACGTGTCCCTTTATGTTTCCAATATTGGCTTCTTATGTGTTTATTTTCTAGTTATCATTTTACTTCCATTAATGTTTCTTTTACTATCTTTTTCTTCTTAGTATCATAGGGATTATAATTAGCACAATAACATAACCGCAGGGAGTGAGGATGGAGCTCAGTGGGACATACAGGAGGCTCTGGAGTCAACCACCAGAACAACCACAGCTAGGGGGCTGGGAGGTCAGCTCAGTAGGTAAAAATACTTGCTGGACAAGTAAGAGAACCAAAGTTTAAACACCAAACACCCTCATAAAATGCCAGAAATGTCTGTACAACTCCAGCCCTGGGAGATAGAGACAGACAGCCCCTGGGCTTGCCCGCCAGCCTAACCAGAGCAGTGACCTGGAGCGCTGAGACTCTGTCTCAAAGCGGCAAGATGGAAAGCGGCCAAGGAAGACAGCAGACTTCCCCCCAGGCCTCTGCACACATGTGCATCTCCACATCTGCACACACGTGCATCTCCACATACTTATATTCATGCACTCACCACAAACCCTTTTTAATACAAACTTGTTAATTTACATTTTTATTACTTAAAAAAAATTCAGGTCATCAGGCTTGGAGGCTCAGTCCTTCAGTTTTTTAAATTTTCTTCCTTCCTTTCTTTCTTTTCTTTGTAGTGGGTGAGGGGTAGGGTCTTTTTGATAGAGTCTCACTATATGGTTCTGGCTGTCCTGGAAATTGATCTATAAACCAGGCTGACCTCAAATGCACAGAGATCTTTCTGCCTCTGTCACAGAAATTTAATGCTAGAATTAAAGGTATGTGCCACCATACCCAACTCTTCAATTATTTATTTTAATTTAAGAAATAATTATAGATCTTTTGCTTAAGAATATGAATTGTTAGCCAGACAGTGGTGGCGCATGCCTTTTATCCCAGCACTTGGGAGGCAGAGGCGGATCTTTATGAGTTGAATGAGTTGAAGCCTGGACTACAGAGCTGGAACAGCAGTGCTGTTAACACAGAGAAACCCTGTCTTGAAAAACCAAACCAAAAAAAAAAAAAAAAAAAAGAATTTGAATTGCTGAATTGTCATCAGAACTAGATTCATGAAAACAAGAAAGACTCTGCATAAGTTCTTAGGTACACACCAGCCCTAGCGTGCTGCTCACAGCACGCCTCTGGAATGAACACTTACCTTATCTAACAATACATTCTGCCACAACCTAAATATGCTTAGGTAACTTCTGTCTCTGGCACCGAAAGACGTAAAGAAAAACTAGGAAGAAAAAGGAGACAAAGTAAGCACCCTGAAAATTTAGAGGACACATCTGATAAACAAATACACTCAGTGTCTTAGTTTTCCTATTGTGATAACAAAGCAACTTGGGGAGGACAGAGTTTGTTTGGCTTAGGCCTTCTCATCACAGTTCTATCACAAAGGGCTGTGGGCTCCCGCGGACCAGCGCTAGCTGCTGACCGCACTTACCTTTGTGTTAAAAGAAAAATAAAGAATTGCCGCATAAATAAGATTTCTTTATACGCCCTGCCCTATAACAGTAGTAAACAAATATAATTTTCGAACACAGCGTTGTTCTTATTTTCTAGGGAAGTGAGCTAAAACTAGGCAGCTGTTTATGTTCTTTATAATTTTCTCGAATTAATCTTAATAAGTGTATAGAAAGATGCACATTTTTTATTCTGAACTTTGCGATATGATGCCTCTCAACTGAGTCACATATAAACTAAGAACACAAGTGGATTGCAGAAGTGTATATATTATTGATAGAAATTTTAAGTTTTGAAATTTTCTTCAAGTGTTAAAAATACTCAAAAATATTGGCTCTCTGCACATAAAACACTCAAGTTAAACTCCGAGGCTTCTGATGTTAGAGAAGGTAGTAGAGTCTCCACTGTAATCCTGGGTCTGTTTGCAGCCCTATATATTTCTTTGCATTTAGCTATCTTTTGTAAAGTCATGTTTAAAGTTGACTTCAATGAGAAAGTGCAGCAAGAAGCATCCTTGAAGGGAGCCTCCCAGTGGGCCATCCCTGCCATTGGCCAAGCCAGTGACCACCTACCTACCACAGAATGCTTATCTGCAGGGAGGAAGAAAGCTAGTTCTATGCTGGAGTGATAAATGAAATTTCACACAATGACTTGGTAATTAATGTTTACACAGACAGATTTTTCAATTTATTAAGCTTAAACCTCTCAGTATATGTTCTTTTTTGAGGGGAGGGGGCATGTCAAGACAGGGTTTCTCTGTGAGTCCTGGTTGTCCTAGAACTCACTCTGTAAACCAGCCGGTCTTGAACTCAGACATCCTTCTGCCTCTGTCCTATCCCCTGAGTGCTAGGATTATAGACATGGGCCACCATGCCCAGTTATTGATAGATAATTCTTTGTAGAGGATACATTCTAGCAATCTCCAGACAGTCTTGCATACACAACTTGTGACTTAATGATTACTACTGTCGCTGTGTCCTTCTGGATTTCTTTATTTTAATTAGTATACAAAGAAATGAATTTAATTGTGACATCGTTATAATGATCTTTTGTCTTATTCGCCTCCCATTGTCCTTTCCAACCCCCGCTGCCCTCATTCTCCTCGCAAATAGTAACCGTTTAAACATACAAGAATCTGTTATTGAATATTCTGTGTTTCCACAAGACACTGTAGCTTCAAGGACTACCTAACTCCTGGTGCTTATCAGTGTGAGACCGCTTCTCTCTGTTATTGATCTGACAAAGGTAGAGAAGTCTCTCACCTTTTCACCTTCTGTGATGATCTGGATAGCATTTGGGATGAGTCGAGCAGTTTTCTCCTTGGTCATAAAGGTTATATTCTTTAAAGCAATAGAAATCTAAACACACACAAAAAATACTTTTTAAAACTGAAATTCATATTTTCAAATACCAAGTGTTACATCAATCTAATTCAGATTTGGCTGAAAGGCTTGCTTTAGGAGTTCACACACACACACACACACACACACACACACACACACACACTCTCTCTCTCTATGAAAACCAAGGTCAGCATTCGGACTTGCTCCCTTTCCTATTCTGCCCATCAATTCCATCATCTAGCATTAGGACTGGGTGTGAAAGACAGTGGGAGTTCAGGCTCCACATTTAAACTCTGAGAACAATGTAGACAGTCTGTCAAGTAACCATGGTTTTGGCAGTCAATCTCTTCCAACCAAACTGTAGTAAGTACAAATGGGGCTGATGTATTGAAATTAGAAAAATATTTTACACATTTACACATGTATAAACACATTATACTTACATAAACATAGATACACAAATACATATGATTTTACTTTTGAATCATCCTGCTTTTAAGAATACTGTGTATATTTCTGACTATGCAATTATTTCTATCAACAAATCAAGTGCAAACATATCTTACTGTAGTTTCCCATCTGAAGATGTTGCTATAGAAACACAGCCAGTTTTCTGAAAGGTACAGCCGCCCCTGAAGCAAAATATCCCTCTGAAGGGCACAAGCATAATCTATATAGACAAAAATGAGAAAGTTATTCACAAAAATCTGACAACTGAATATAAACGTTGTACTACTTCAGCTCAGGGACAGTCATCTCTGTTCACTCATTCACGTATTCATTCATTCAAATGCTCCATACCAGTTATTTTGTTATGCACTAAGCTCACTAGAAATATTTCATACCCTCATGGAACTTTGTAAATGAAAGGTAGGTGGGATAGTTAATATTGTCAACCTGGTAGAACCTGGAATCATCCAGGAGACAGGCCTCTGGGCATGCCTGTGGGGGATTGTCTCAGTCAGATTAATTGAAGAAAGTCCCACCTCTAATGAATGTGGGCAGTACCACTCCATGGGCTGGGGTCCCAGACTGCATAAAATGGAGAAAACTTCTCTTTCTGATTGTTAGTGCAATGTAACAAGCCACCTCAAATCCTGCCATGGTGACTTCCTCACCCTAACTGTCATGGACCATTGAGTCAAAATGAAACTGTTCTCCTCCCAGTTGCTTTTGTCAGGGCTTTTTACAGCAGCCACAGAAAAGCAGTCCCTCGCAGTAGGGAGACCCTAACTGTAGTGAAGAACAGAGGTGGAAGCAGATTGGTCAGTGATGGAGGAGCAGAGAAAGGGGAATGCCAGTGCCTAGCTGCTCCCCACTTCCCTTCTTGTTCAGTACAGGACACAGCTCATGGGTGTGATCCACCTTCAGGGTTTTCCACCCCAGTTAAAGCTCCTGGATTTTCGCTCACAAACCCTCCCAGAGGTGTGACTCCTAGGAGATTCAAAATCCAGTCAGGTCGACAACAAAGATCAACCATCAGCAAATACAAAAACTAGTTTGGTGACTAAAGCACAGAGAAAATTACAAAAACACAGAACAAGAATCATGTCCATTAGGGGAAGGTATGGAAAGAACATTATCAGGAATGACTTCCCTAAATAAGAACACTAAGTGAGTGTTCTTAAGAAAAGAATCCAAGCCTGGTGGTGGTAGTGCATGCCTTTAATTCCAGCACCTGGGTGGCAGAGGCAGGTGGATCTCTGTGAGTTGGAGGCAAGCCTGGTCTACAAGAGCTAGTTCTAGGACAGGCTCCAAAGCTACAGAGAAACTCTATCTTGAAAAACCTAAAAAAAAGAAAAAGAAAAAAGAAAAGAAAAGAATCCAAGCTGGACGGTGGTGGTGTGTGCCTTTAATCCCAGCAATTGGGAGGTAGACGCAGGCGGATCTCTGAATTTGAGGCCAGTCTGTTCTACAGAAAGAGTTCCAGGACAGCAGGACTACATGAAGAAACCCTATTTCAAAAAACAGAAAAATACAAAGGTCAGTAAAGAGTTGACAAAATTATGATGGACCAGCACATGCAAAGGCTACAGAGTCGAAAAGCAGACATCATATTTGAGAACTTGTTGGCAGAGGCCAGTCAAATTTCTCAAATATTGTTTGTTTACATTTAAAGGGGGATATGTTATAGAAATTTGTATTGGTATGAATCTTGGTTTATTGATACAACTTTAAGGTCAGTTTTGTTATATGCATATTTCTGCTCTTGATTAAGGTATTATATTTATATAGCTCACTTAAAAATGTAATATATAATTTTAAAATATAGGTTAATAGATCTATAAAAGTCAAGCTTGTAGTCATATTAGTTAGGTTTTCTAGATATATAGAAATATATTTCAGTTAGATAAATAATCTTTTTTTCCGTCTCCCTCTTGGAGAGGCAGCTTCTGCCTCTCTCTCTCTCTCTCTCTCTCTCTCTCTTCTCTCTCTCTCTCTCTTCTCTCTCTCTCTCTCTCTCTCTCTGCCTCTCTGCTCTTCTCCCATTCTCTCTTCCCCCTCCATAACCCACTAAATAAATATCCAACCTCACTGTGCATGGCGCGCCTATCCATGTGTCTCTCACCCAGCACATGGTTCCCTGCCCAGGACCAGCCACATTTGGAGACCTGCGGGATGGTCTCATGGCGTGCCCATCTGTCTGTCTCTCCTCACGGCCTGCTGCAGCCACTGGGGAACTGTGTCATCCCTGTCTAGGACTGGCTGCTCTCAGGCCCTGCTGTTCGCTGCCTGCTGCCACATGGTCTCTTGTGCTGTCCCTACCTGGGACCCTCTGCCTGCCGCCACTAGGGCACCTGCAGTGTTTCTGCCACTGCAGCCTCCAGGGATCTTCAGCATTTTTATTTTTACCATTACACTGGTGCCGAGACTCAGATGGCTCTCCCACCCTGAGCCCCACTCCCAGGGTTGGGATTCAAAACCCTGGGAGTTTTGAATTGGTATTTTTTTATCACAACAACCACGTGTTCCATATGCCTGAGCTCAATTTCTACAGCATAATTTCTATGCATAACACTGGCTTCAATTGGTGTAAGAGACACCAGACATTTCCATACCACAAACACCAGACAGGAACAAACAGACCAGCTATACCAGGATATGACCAGCACCCAGCCTTCAAATTTCCCCCCAAAGACAATGCCCACAAATAAGCAGGAGGCAGTCTTGGGAATCTGCCACCCCAATTCTCTTAACCTGTAGTGCCTAACTTCCTGTCTTTTTATTATAAAAAAAAAAAAGAGAAGGGAATATAATGATCTGTCTCTTTACGAGACAAGCCACACCCATTCCCTTCCCCATCCATCTGCTGAGGCAGGCAGATTTTCCTTCCTGCTTTCAGCCTGACTCTCTCTTTTTCCATCTCCCTCTTGGAGAGGTGGCTTCTCTCTCTCTCTCTCTCTCTCTCTCTCTCTCTCTCTCTCTCTCTTTCTCTCTCTCTCTCTCTCTCCTCTCTCTCTCTTCTCCCCTCTCTGCTCTTCTCCTCTTCTTCCCTCCCCCTCCATAACCCACTAAATAAACATCCAACCTCACTCTGCAAAAAAAAAGATAAATAATCTTCAAACCTTTCAAAAACATACAGAATATGACATTTAAAATGTTTTTAAAACTAGGATTTTTCATGACAGTGAGACCTATCTGCTCCTGGTAGCACCAATATATTAAAAAAATAATGAGCAAAAATAATAATGGGAACCAAAGAGGCTCCTTATGGAGTTTGTTGGCCATTTGGGCAAGATACTGCTCTTGCCTGGACTGCTTGATGTTATGCTGTGTGAGCTGGACATGCAGGATCCATGGTGAGATGACTGCTGAACTTGCCTAAAGGTGAGATGATTCTTTTGGGTTCCTGCTTCATAAAAGAGTCTGCTAGACATTCTGCAGGACATAGAAGAAAATGACTGACAAACTGCCAATATAGGCAAAACTGTCTTTAAAATTTCCTGCTTCATGGAAAAAATTGTCAGATACTATGGATCTGTAGGCTAAAGATGGTTGCCACAACTTTACAAAAGAAATTTGGGTGACTGTCCAGGCTGTGAGATGTCTCTACCAATTCTAGAGTTTTAAAAGTTGCTTACAATGCACTTCCTATTAACTAAGGTAATATTATCCTTCTGAGGTCTTTGATGAAGTTAAAAAAATAAATAATTATAATTATGATAAAATATAAAATAAGTATAAATATTATAACTATAATTTTTGTTTAGTACCTGTTTTATTCCAGATAATTTTACTATATTAAAATTAAAGCCTTCCTTTTTATTTAAAAAGAAAAGGGTGTAATGATTCAGCCACACAACATGGCTGACACTTCCCGGTTCCAGGGCCATGCATATTCAAACAAACTCCCAGGCAGAAGTGCCTAATGGCCCCAGGAATCTTAAAGGACCCCACGTGATCCATGTGCAGCGTGGTTGCATCATCTATGTATGATGCAGCTGCATGAGCCTTGTGTGCATGTGTGAGCTCTGTCACCTGTGGTGACATAACCACGCCATCCCCCATGTGCATGCACTAGGCAGCCTTTAAAAGCTAGAGGCACCATCTTCAGCTCTCTCTCTCTCTCTCTCTCTCTCTCTCTCTCTCTCTCTCTCTCTTTCCACACCAACCTTCACCAGGCCTGTACACCCCCCCCATAAACTCCTAAGTGGGTCTGTTGCAAGTTCCGTGTTTCCTTCTCACTCGTGCCAGGTAATTTCCTTGGTGCCATGACTCCCAGAAGTGTCAGCCATGTTGTGTGGCTGAATCATTACAAAGGGGAAATGGTGTGGAAAGTCCTTCTGTATATGTGTTGTTTTTATTGGTTAGTAACAAAGAAGTTGCTTTCGGCCAGTGGCTTAACAGAATATAGCCAGGCTAAAAGAGGTATATATATATATACATATATATATATATATATATATATATATATATATATAGAGAGAGAGAGAGAGAGAGAGAGAGACAGAAGATGGAGTCAAAGAAAAATCATGTAGCCATCCTCAGGAGACAGGAACCTCCACTGGAGCCCACTGGAACAAGCCACAGCCATGTGGTGATACATAGATTAATAGAAATGGGTTGATTTAAGATATAAGAGTTGCCAGAAATACGCTTAATACTGTTATTGGCCAAACAGTATTTCAATTAATACAAATTTCTGTGTGATTATTTCAGCTCTGAGCAGCTGGAAATTAATGAGCAGCCTCCGCCAACAAGAGCTAAAAAAGACTAGCTAGGTATGGTGACACATACTTTTAATCCCAACGCTCAGAAGGCAGGACAGACAGATCCCTGTGAGTTCCAGGCCAGCCAGGTCTCTTTTGTGACCCTGCCTCAAAAGAGAAAGGAAGTGGGAGGGTAAGGTTACTAAAAGGTTGAAAGGTCTTGTAACTCATTAAAGAATGAAGAATGAACCAGGAGAAGCTACTCATGAGCTTCAAGTGGAAGGAACATTATGAAATCTCTGGTTTTAAGCGCCACTCTATGCAGGTTGTGAAAATGATTTTTTTCTGTGACCTTGCACAACCTTAGAGATGGAGCTAACTGGGGCAACAGGGAATAAAGAAACAACACACACATACAGAAAAGTTGGAGTTGGGCAGGTCACGCACTTGGATGAAGATGCACCAGCAGTAGCCTGGAAACATCTCTTTTATTGTATGAATCTGAATTGAGAGGCAGGGT